ATACATACATATATATATATATATATATATATATATATATATAATTTTTAACAAATACAATTGTCTTTATAATACCATGCGTACTTGTGCCCTATTTTTTACACGTAGTATAACTGGGTCTGTACAGAGGATAATAGAAATGTATATTTTGGCAGGTTGTGTGGGACGCAGGCTCGAGACTCCACCCATCCTCCGTCCTTATTTAATGTGCATGTCTGCTTTTTGAATTTCCACTAATAGGCTACCTACAATTTCTATATTTCCTTCATTAGTTTGTGGACGGCAACAAGCTCTCATGCCTCTTCCTGTTGTGAAATTATGACACTCATTATGACTCCAGCAAGGATTCGCCGACGTGCGAGAATTCCGCCTTCCATTCCTTTTTTAGCACGGCTGCAGACACGCAGGCCACGCCCCTTTCTTATTTTGTCTACGCAAAGGCTCCGAAGCCCCGCCCTTTTTACCAAATAAGTCCAGGCTGTCCTTACACGGCGAACAATCGATGCGCGTCGCAACCTTTCCCTTTCCTTATCCCGTTTATATAGTACGGCGACTTCCGCCCTTGCCGTTAAAGCAGTGCGATCATGGCGGAGCGCGTTCAGCAGCCCCCAGCTAAACGGCTCTGCTGCCGACCCGGGTATAGTACGACATGTAGACAGGGGCAGCGAGCCGGTGGAACAGTATGCGGCGGTTCGGGTTCTGGCCAAGGGGGATCCAGCAAAACCCAGAGCCCCGAATCGCTCCTGGACATTGCAGCGCGGAAAGTAGCGGAGAAGTGGCCGTTCCAACGGGTGGAGGAGCGTTTCGAGCGCATCCCGGAACCCGTACAGCGGCGGATCGTGTACTGGTCTTTCCCGAGGAGCGAACGGGAGATCTGCATGTATTCCTCGTTCAACACGGGCGGAGAGGAGAGTGCGTCTAGCGGGGAGAACGTAGACGAGACGCGGTTACCGTTCCGACGCGGCATCGCATTGCTGGAGAGCGGTTGTGTGGACAACGTATTACAAGTCGGTGAGTGTGGATGTAAACCCGCGGCTTGGAAAACATTTAAATCGATTGATTCCAGTCACCATCACGCAGACACAGTCGAGCGAAAACATGCGAATGTCGTTTAAAAGAGGAACACGAGTCGAATGAAAGGGACTATTGAATTTTCGGCGAACAAAGGGAGGAATACAACGGGTTTAAATCTCCCGACAGGGTGCCGGTGATGTCGTTTAGTTTAGCAACAGACACCGAGCGCTCCGGCTTATCGATACATTCCGAGCGTTCTGGGAAACGTTCTGAATACATTGTAGCGCTTTTGTATCTGCGCGAGAAAAACAGCGCGGAAGTGGAGCTCGATGTCGCTCGATCCATTCAGCGTTTAAAGCACATTTACTTGACTTTTTCGTTGTTCTTTCACCTCGGACTTGTTTTGTAGTTTCACTTTAGTCGGTGTAGCGACGTATTAATCGTGTGTTTTCTCGTAAAACGGTTGAAATGTCAAGCCTTCCAAAGCTTGTCTGGTCTGTTTATTTTTTTCTGAAGTGAAAGCGTGAGGGGGGGGTTATTGGCGTAGTAAGTCGACCAACTACTGGATGTAGAGCTGTCATGTCAACTAAAATAGCAGGAATATACGCGAATATCTGTGGTTATTGCAAACAACACTCTGACTCTTGTTTTTAGCAGCGAAAACACTGTTGGTTTTGTATTTAGTGGGTGCGCATATCAAATAGCCGTCAGGCATCCCTATTGAAATTGACACTTTGTTCCCATTTTCATGTTCGTTTGTGTCTTTTCAGCTTTCTGTCACCCTCCAAAAGGAAGGGAAACAAAAGCGGCTTTTTATTTTCTTTCACTGCTTGTTAAATGGAAAAGATTTGGGAAAGGGGTGGGAGGAACGGCGATTTAAAGTCGCAGTGTCTCGATTTCTTTTTAAATGTCCCCTAATAAAATGCATACGTTCCGGCTGACCCTCGTGACGTCAACGTGCTCCTGGAAATTGTCAAAGTAGCTGCGAACGCGATATTCAGCTCTGGCATGTAGTGATTCACCCGCTTTGTCTATTGCAACTTTATCCACCTTTGTTTTTAAAGTCCCCGCAATTGATTCCGTGGCTCTCCGCCCTTTGGAAACAATTCAAGATTTTAATCACATTAGTGCCTTTGCTTAATTCGAATTGTAATGCAATCAGCGAACGTAATTTTCTGCATGACCATTCCCCCCTCCTCCACGTTCGTAGTCTGCAAGAGAAGAGGTGCCTCAGCTGGGCTCTATGCCCTCACCCTTCAGCCAAAATGGGTTTGTGCTCTCAGGAAAATGCACACACTGGCCCATGTGTGTCTTCCCTGCCCGGAGCCTCTCGAGCGGACTGGCTGTCTTGGAAGATCAAGGGCTCTTGCCCTTTTTCCAACAGGCTACGTGGAGCTCTCTGCTTTTGATTCCGCTTTTTCCCTTTGTGTGCGCCTCATTCCGAGCTCCGGCGATGGGAAATGACAAGCCTGCATGCACGGGGAGGGTTTCTTGGCTGATTGCATCCCAGTATGGAATGCTCTGCAAAAATAAAGCCAAGCGGCGATAAATAAAAGATGCAATCTTGCGATGCAGGCAGGGCCGGGGGGGGGTTGCTTCCAGCAGACCCGGATTAGCCCCGATAGGTAGAGCTCACCGTGACGAACGAGCCGAGACTGAATTCAGGACAGGAATTTGTTTTCCTTTCTGTCATATGCAGGGGGAGGGGATGCAATAAAGCGATATATTTCTCATAAATATGGCCGTGGCGTCCCTCGGCTGGCAGTTGGCCATGATACTCTATATTTGCATACCAAGGGCATCCGAGCAGCCCTCCTCTTTTAGTGCACGCAGGGAATGTTTATCGCATTACAGGATGTTTAGATGGTACATGCAGCACTGATCTTGGGGGAAAGTGTGTGTGTTTTCCTACACAGTTTGGTTGAAGCACTCTGCGGGACTATTGCACGGTTTGCTGTGGAAACGCAGGCGTTATAGCTCTAGGTTGCAATTGCAAACCCAGTAGAAGTTATATATTTATTACCAGTGTTGATGCTTCTGTTGCTGTGGCTTGTGTCGTATTGATCACGCCGAGCACAAAAGGTCACGGGGTTCAAGTTCAACCCCCTTCTTTCCAGCCGTGTGTTGTGTTTCCATCTGTTATGACTTTATTAGGCTGCCGATCAGTGATCCTATTAGCTTATAATCTGCCTTTTGCTGGTGATATGTTTGCCAATATGCTCAGCTGTTAAAGATCAATAGGAATTAACCACAAATACCATGTGATGCATGCCGTTTGATGTGTAATAACAATACTGAGGCGCGCCGCTGCAAAGATCATAGGTCTACATGTTATATGTCAGTACTTTCAGTTAGTGTAATAACATGACAGTTAAATCTCAAAGCGAGCCAGTGATGTCATTTTCCATTATTATAGCTCGAGTCAGGACGTTTTGCGGCGTGTTCTCGGAAATGCTGGAGGTTTTTTGAAATTCTAGCATTGTAGATGTTAATGGCAGAACCATATGTGAGTCCCCGAGGTGTATTGATCAGATGAAGAAGACGGTGTCATAGCGGCGTAATGATATAACGGGACAAAATAAACTGCTTTGTTTATTGATCTCGCATCAGAGGAGACGCACAGTTCCATCAGCCTTATTAAACCAGAAAGGGTGTGTGTGTGTGTGTGTAAAGAATGAAAAATAGAGTGCTGCACATGCTCTAATGTGTGTTCCAGCTCACTGAGCCAGTGGAAAGAAAAGCCTTATGCCTGCGTTAACATTTCTGCCATTCATACACAGAAGTGCAAAATGTAAGATGTACAACTTAAATCTTACATGAGGCTGTTGCTTTTGGGGCCGTCAGAAATGCCATGTGCAAAGGCATCGGAGCTTCTAGTTTGGTAGATTCGAGGTCAGTGGGCCTGCATGTAATTGCTTTATGATGCTTTAAAAGATGTGTGACGTGTCTGCAGAAGTGCTGATACACACATTTGAGATGTTTTGAAGGAAGAGACCAAGATTTTCACCCTTCAATTTTCTCATTTTGAAAAAATATTTGCTGTGGAAACAATTTTCACTCAGAAGCTGCTAGTAACTTTCACAAATAATTACAAAGAAACAGCAAGTAGCATTGAATTAAACATGAAAGTTAAAGACTGAAGTAGTATTTTCTTGTAAAACATACTTGAATAATCTTTATTTACAACTTCTAAAGATCATTTTTCACAGTGTAGAAGAAATTGTTGAGTGTTGAAATATGTAAGTTAATTCATGGGTAATGGACTTGGTATGCTATAATACTTGAATTCCTACAGTATATAATGTATGCGTACACATTTTTTGTATGCATACAATAGTCATGATGCAGTGTTGTGATGCAATGCTTGATATGAAGTAATATTTGTCGTGATTTTTAATGTCTCTTTCTTTACTTTTTTTTAATGAGACTGTTAAAATTGTCAATTTTTTTCTCAAAATTGGATTAAAAATGCAAAATAACAGTTTATTTCAAAGACGATTTACTATTTGAAATGCATACGTCAATTTAAAAAGTTTGTTAAATAATACGTTCGGTTTCACATACTATTTAAAAAAAAAAATAGAATGATAGTAAGCTAATTTGCATAAAATACTCTAATGTATCCCACAATGCAATGTGGTTGACTTGATATTCAGCTGAACCTGAAGTAATTTCAGTCAAAATTTTTAAAATCTCTTTGTTTACTAACGAGACTGCCAAAAAATTAAGTCCTTTTTTGCTCAAAATTAGATTTAAAAAAATGCAAAATAACAGCAATAACAATAATTGCTTAATTACTTGAAATGTAACTACAATTTGAAAAGTATATTATAAATCATAAGTTCAGTTTCACATCGTATTTTTAAAAATTAGAATGCAGATTTTCATAAATAAGCTAATGTCCTTTTACAAATGCAGATAATGAGTAAGAAATGCTGCATGTTGTTATGTGAGGTTTTGTTATATTATTTTAGATCAGCATTAAATCAGATCGTATGGTCTGTCCGTAAACGCTTCATTTTCCACAGCAGCTTTGAGAAGTCAGATTGACAGTAAGCCTACAGATTTGCACCATGTATTGAAAGTTAGCGCTCCACCCACAATGCCCTTTGATGTAGTTTGTGGTGGAGGGCATAAGCTCTGCTCTCTGCTGCAGGGTCTGCTATAAATTTAGACTGTAGTGTTCTTCACACGTCACGTGCTTCAGTTAAAAGGGTTGTTTAAGCAAGTCTACCAGAGCTTTATTACCAGCATTACCAGTCAAATAAAAAAAAACAGCGATTCATTCTTGTGGAATTCTGTTCCAGAGATTTGGAGAGATACGTTGCGAAATATCACATCATAACGAACCGCATTTTGACTTCATTGTGAAGTTTAGCCTGAATGTTACATTCCAAACTACTGCTGCCACCCAAAGCACTCGATTTCAGCAAAACTAGAAACCTGCAGTTGTCAAATGAAAACTAGTCATCCTAGTTTGTATGCTCGGTTGAACTCAAATGTTTACATGCATGACAGACTTGATTTGTTGTGTTCGTCAAAGCAAAGATGGAGGCATTGAGCAAGCTCCTGTGCTCATCCATTCTGTGGGGAAGTTCAGAGGTTGTAGTAATGCGTAATGATGTGATGTGCATTTAAGTGATGTTGGTCGGAATAAAGTGGACTTGCTGGGCATCTTCATATTTCTTTCTGTCTTTTCACTTCCCAATGAAGATAGGAAGCTTTTATAGTACAAAAAAGATGCATTAGGTATGTAATCAATGCTTTGTGCTTAAGTGTTCTCATGCTGCCACAGAGAATGATGGGAAATATAGTTTTGCGTTATAAACCGGCGAAAAAATTAGTGATCTGTGCTTTGCTTGTAAAAGTTAAAATCCACAATGAAAACACAATATTATTCTGATTTGATTTGTATGATTTTTTTATGAAAATGTTTTTATGTTTTGTTTTATTTTAAATGGCATCAAAATGTTAAAATTATAATTCAAAATGAAAGT